CTGAATGCCTTCCTCTTGCAGATTTATTTTGACTACATCTCAAACTTTGTATTTTGTTATGCTTGGAAGGGTTATGGTTTCTCACAGGTAGCCTGAAAGATTTTGTTTTGATACTGTTGTCCACATGTGAATTTTCTGAGGTGTGTGTTGCCTCTTAAGTTTTGTAGCCCTGAAAAATCATTGTGAGATAAGACTGGGAATTGCTCAGCTTACCCAGTCAAAATGGTAATAAATGTTCTAACCCACCTTTGAGCATCTATCCATCCATCAGAAATCGGAGATAAGTGTCAAGAATCAACTGGATCTAATACTGCTTTTAGAGGAGCTCTGTGCCAATTAACAGAAGGACCTTCTTCCTTTCAATTCTGATCTGATAAAATAGACATTTCTTGGTGTTACAACAGGGGCTTTTTAGGTGAAATGCCCCCGGTGTTAGTTTATATCATGAAAGATGAGGCAAGAGAGATGCAGATTGGTTATCTTGCCTTTGAATGGCAGCCATACCACAGGAGTTCTGGCAGATCTTATAACACCATCCATGCTACTATTTTTTTTTTTTCATCATCCTCTTGCTTGGTACTGGCAGATGGAAAGGTGTTTCATAACTATGAAACATGTTATGGAACATGTAACGTAACCAGAAACTACTGTTACCTTCCAGCTTTTCCAAGTTTACTTTGGCACTGAGACAACAGTGCTGAGCTGTGTGTCTTCCAGTACAGTAGTATTCTCTAATTAGCACTGACCCTTTAGGAACTGTTGATTGCAGCAGTACCCTGTGGGACAGTCCTGGAAGACAAATTTGAAACCCACTGGTCACTTATGCATGTAGTTAGTTTTCATAACATAGTGTTAGGTGAGGCAAGATAAAAGTGTGTGTGTACACATGCTGAGTTTTTGGAAATTAGCTCATCCTCTGATTTCCTTACAGATGCTCCCCTCATTCACAGATGTTCACTTGAGAGAGCATTTCTGCAAGGGTTCAGGAGATTACTGAGCTGGGGTATCATAATGAGGAGTGTCCCTTTCAGTACTCCTGTCAGTAAGGAAAAACTTCCTGTAGTCTAGTGAAACTTGTTTTCTGCTCCCACCATTTCTGGTATTGCTGCGTGGTAATCAAACTATTTTGAATCTCATTAACCTTAAGGAACAAGGTTTTCCAGATACTTTGCTTTGTGTGGGTGTAAATCTTTCTTGGTAATGACTATTATATTGGAAGAGGCTACATCCTCCTTAAGACTTACAGTGGAAATATCTGGGTGGTCTGCAGAAGTGATGATGTCCAGAGGTCCTGTCTAACCTTAATTAGTCTATTATTCAGTGTATTCACAGTTGGTGTAATGAGTTCCTGTTGTAAGAAAAGCCTGTTTCTGTTCTGCTCACTGTAGTAAGACAGCGCCTATTGCTGAGGTGATCATGGTCTATCTCTGATTTCAGTTGCTGTGTTCCTTTGCTATAATGTGGCCCTCCAGTTTAAGGGGCAGGATGTTGGAGGAGACAAGTAGTCGCATAAAGTGGGATTCCTCATCTAATTGTAAATGTCTAGACATCTTACAGTCAGTAAGAGGGGAAATGGCATATGTGGGATACAACTTCATCTCCATCTAAGGCTGGTGAGTCATGCCACAGAAATGGCTGTTTCCCCCAGTTGGCTGTGAAGAGATGCAGTGAATATGCAAGGTCTGTACATACATCAGAATAACCTGTAAATTTGGGTAGATAAATCCCATTCTTAATCCCATTGTGTTTGTTAGGACCACTACATGGTTAAGAAGAACACAAGTGGTTTGTTTGGAGAGTGTTTGTACAGCAACATCTGACTGAAGAACAATGGTTTTGTGAAGGTCAGTCAGGCTAGTCCAGCAGAGCATCAGAGAGAGCAAGAATCACAATGCTGTTGGAGGTCCAAAGATGGGACACTGAAGATTTCTACTAAGGCTACAAACTATATATAATTTGAAAGGAGGGTCCTTGTGGGTATTTTCTGCATGGTCATCACTGAAAAATGAAATGTGCTGGATGGAATCCCAGCTCCACACCCCAATGCTTTGGCTGGCCACCAAGCAGTACTTTGGGCAACTGAAATTGGTAAACCACAGAAACTGAAGAAAAGTGTGAGTGGATAAAGGTAGGTTTGTGCTTGCAAACAGTTTTAGTAAATAAGAGTTAAGTTAATTTTGCTTTGTAATTAGCTTACTTCAATAAGAGACAATTATTATTAAGAACTGGTGGCATTGTTATTTTATTTAAAAGATAACTGTGTAACACTTTCTGCTATGAAACTGAAAAAAAACCAAAAACCTGCAGTAGGAATGTCACTTAAACTATGGTCTAAAAGGACAGCACAGAGGAATGAGTTGAAGTATTTCTTTACTGAACTTTAGTGTTTTATTGCATCAGGTGTTTAAGATCCTAATACCTAAGCTGAACTTGTTGTCTTTTATGAAGGATTTAAGTCTGAGCTATCTCAGTAGCTCTGTCTGTTCAGCATCCCTCTGTTTTTCCAAAATCTGTCTTTTAAAGCTAGACAGGATGACATCTAACAGAAGATTCCTGGAGACAGATAAGTTGCAAATAAATAAAAAAGAATCAGCACAAGAACTGATCCTTTGAGGAAACTTTTCCTCTGGATTGTGTTTAAGCTCAGCTTCTTGCCTTGTATGTCTCTGGAATTGACTCTCTTAAAATATTATTTCTGAACCTAAAATAATACCTCAGTTTTGCTCTCTGCCCCATCTGAATATTGTGCCTAGGTGCTGTTCTTGCTGCTGCTGTGTCTGAGAAAGAAGTAGTAGCAAGAATTTGGAGATTTCCTGAAGTCTTACAACTGGCCTTCAGCATCTTTTCTGCTGTGGGCATGCTTCTTTTCTAGGTTAAGGATTACAGAATTTGTAAACTTGCTTGAGGAGTTTTGTTGCATGGTTACTATCTGGAATAAAGCTATTTTGCACATGGTTTTAATGGATTGGCTGTTAAGCTTACTGTTCTGATACAACTAAATATTTTACTCCTGTGGAAGACTTGGGACATAAGTTGACGCTGGCCGTTAATTCATGTGAGAGCTATTCTTATGGAAAGATACCAAAGCTGAAGGCTCTCAGTTTGAGGCAGGTTTGAGTGTGCTTTCTTCTTTTTTGAAGAATAATGGTTAGAACTTACTTTGCCCCAAGGTGGAATTAGTCTGTGTGAACTCACTTCTGTCTCTATCTGCCCCAATAGCGCCCTGCTGTGTAAGCTGTACTTGTGATGCTGTTGTGTGGGAAGACTTTGTGTCTGCCTGGAGGTTTTATCTGGGGTTTCAGTCTTCCTTGCAGTGAGTTAGTATGCTCCTGTGGTGGATTTGCTAATGGTTGTTTTACCTGACTCCACATGGCTGAATACCTCTGGGACCTTTTCACTTTCTAGATAAATACTGTGTGGTGTGTATCTTACGGTCTTACTTGTGGTCCTGGCTGTTTTTTTTAATCCATATGGCTTCTTCAGTTTTAATGTGGTGTTTAAGTAGATATTTTTTCTTGTTCATTCATGACATTATAGAAATACCTGTAGAGTCATGAGGCGTCATCTACTGATGATGGTGGATTTGCTTCTAATGGTCAGCAGGAGAGCAGTGGGACTGCATAAAGGTCGGGCTGCATAAAGGTCACAAGGAAAATGGATCACTTTCAGAAGTCTCATCTTAAAGATCAGGATAACCCCAAGTACCTGAAACACTCACTCACTGCAAATTAAGTGTAGACAGAGGTGCTGTGTTCTGCCTTACTAACTTTTAGAAATTTAAACTGCTACGTTATAACACTAGAGTGGAGTCTAAAGGAGGCTCTGTCATGTGGTAGGACAGTGGCTGTCATATGGGTGGCTTTGCAGATTTTCCAAGAAGGTTGTCCCTAACAATGGCAGACATTTTTCTTTTTCCTACCCAAGTTTTTGTTTGCCCCTACTTTTTTGGATGCTGATTCCATTGACTGTGAAACCCTTTTATTCCAGGCTGTTGTAGAGAGGAGCCTCTTGGCATATAAGTAAATACTTATTATACTACTGTGTAATTGTGGTCTGTTCAGATTGCAATTATCAGGCAATTGCTACTTCTGTGTTGTTTGGACCAAGGAGCAATTCCATGGATGTAGAGATGTGTCGTAGAATATGTCAAGACCTGGACAAGAACCATCACTTCTGTACTGTGCTTTCCATGGGAAGACTCTTAAGGGGTTTGAACAGGACAGGAATGATAACCTGCTCAATCATATCACCAAGAGATCAGGATTTTGAGGAGCACTAGAGCCTGACCTCTCCAGAAGAACTAGTGTTCCCAGGGAAGTTTTTCTTTTCTTAGAATGATGCTATACCTTATAGCCTCTGATTCAAAAATGGGGGAGGGTTAATTAATTAAATTAAAGGATTTGGTGACACTTTTTAGCAGGAAAACAGGCTAGCCAATCCTTTTAACTTGCAGTTATATTTAAATTAAACAATCCCTTTTATATAAATTGGGAATCTAAAAGCTGGTAAGGAAATTAGACTCATAATTCCAGTCTTTTTTTCGTACAACTGTTGATATAGTAAACACTAACTAAAATATAGCCAGTCATTTATTATTAAGCTATATCTGTAAACTAGACAGTTGTGATAATTGAGTTAGTTACAGATAAAGTTAATGTCATTATTTGGGGGCATAATATTAAAAGGGAATACATTTGAGGTTAGTGAGCATAGTTTTTTCAGCTGTCAGCTTACTTCACTAGAGGCTTTCACATAGAATATTCACATAAAACAAATCCAAATTGGATTTGCTAAGCTTTTTTATAAGTTTTTAAACCATTTTAGCAGCAAAAGGCTTAAGAGTTTTTGTTTGGGGTGTGTGTGTTGTTTTGTTTTGTTTTGAATACCAGCTGCCTGTTTATACTGCATTTTTTCCTAACAACTGGGGAAACCCTTCTGTTGGTGTCTGGTATCCTAAACTAACAACAAAGGTTTGTTCAGTTGTTCATTCTTTTTTGCAGGTAAAGAAAGCCTTTTTTGCCTTGGTGGCAAATGGTGTGAGAGCAGCTCCACTGTGGGAGAGTAAAAAACAGAGTTTTGTAGGTAAGTAGTTCTAAAACTGTTCAAGATTCCTTCAGTATCCTGGATGGTTTGCTGTTGCAGGTGGTGGTCTGGGTCTAGTCATGGTCTGACATCCTAGAGATAGGTTGGCAAAGAAGGGGGGGTGTTCCTCCTGGTGAGGAGTGGCGTGTTGCCAGCTTTCAAAGATTCCTTTCTGTCCTGACCTTCTGAAATTTGGTCTCTAATATGTGCATTTCACTGCAAATTTATAAATAAAGGTAATGGTCACAAATAGGAAACTTGAAGATAAGAAATATAAGAAGAATTTAAAGTTACACTATCCTAATATACATGGGCATGACGTTCTCTGTACCTTCTTAGTACTGAGAACACTGAGTACACTGAGAAATCTTGAAATACTGGAGCTCATGCTGAATGCTACAGATATGTCCCATGTTGGGAGAAAAACATTGGACTTGTGTATTGTTTTGTTAAAAGGAATGTGATTCATTGCTGCAACGAATGTATTCCAAAATTATATCTCTCTTGCAGTTAGAAAACAGGGTCATATGGGCAGTTACAAATATTACTGTGTGTACTCCCTGTGACTTGGAATGGAAATTGTGATTCTTGAAAAGGAATGGTAGATACTTTATAGAGAGTTTGTTAAAATATTTTAAATCCAAGGGAAGAGGAGCCATTATTTTATTCAGTACATCATAGCAATGCTGTGTGTCTTTTAAATTGAATTTAGTTTTCTGTTTGTGACTAAACTCTAGTGATTTAAAGCTGGCCTCCAAATTAATTTTTCCCTTCCCCATTTCTTAGTTTCTTCAGTTTAGATGTAAGAGTAGTACAGTGGAGCAATTACATCTTCTCTAATTTAGAACTTAATAGCTCAAAAAAACATTAAGCTTTTCAGGTAACTAAACCAATCATCAACCTTACATAGTGTGGTGTTTGTGGTTAAAATATAGATATAATGTGGTTAAAATATATATATATTATGGGTGTACTAGCTCTTTTTTTAAAAAAAGTCACATTTCAATACAGACAATTACTGTGGAAATGATTGAAGGAAGTTCTTTAAATAATATTCAGGAGAGTGAATTTAACTGTTTGAGTCTAAGAGTCTGCCTGACTTGGCGAGTACATGATAAGAATGTGTCTTATTTGAGAAGGAAATAAAAGACCCACTCT